TTGTTGAATTATCACTTCTTCGAGCATCATGGGGGGGCGGCACCCCAACCCCCCGCTGATTTTCAGAATGTTTACAGAGGATACCGCACCCTTTGCTGAATCATCACTTCATCGATCATCACCACCCTTTGTTGAATATTACTTCTTCGAACATCATAGAAGGGCTGCCGCCCTCCCCAACCCCCCTGCTGATTTGGAGAATGCTTACAAAGCTTAGCGCACCCCTTGTTGAATCTTCACTTCTTCGATCATCACCGCCCTTTGTTGAATCATCACTTCTTCGAACATCACCAATCTTGTTGAATCATTACTCCTTCGAACATCATGAGGGGATCCGCAACCCCCAGCTGATTTTCAGAATTTTTATAGAGATTTCCGCGCCCTTTGCTGAATCTTCAGTTCCTCGAACATCATGGGGGGCGCTGCCGCCCCCGCCAACCCCCCGCTGATTTAATGCAGCGCTTGTGTCAAACTCTGCACCGTACCTTGCGAAAGTGCTGCGCCTGCCGCGAAATTGGCACCTCTTGCGAAAGTGCTGCGCCTGCCGCGAAAAACTGGACCGCACCTTGCGAAAGTATTGCGCCTGCCACGAATGTGTACCTGACCTTGCTAAAGTGCTGCGCCTGCTGCGAAACCTGTACCTGCCCTTCCGAGAGTATTGCGCCTGCCACGAAATCTGTACCTGACCTTGCGAAAGTGCTGCGCCTGCCACGAAATGAATAAGTTTTTTGATCCCTATAAAGTCTTTTTTGATCTTCTGATTTTTCATTTTTAATAGTAATTCAATGAGATAAACTTGTTTATTGAGCCCGAAAAAGTTTTTTTGATCTTGAGAAATCAGTTTTTTTTGATGCCTAAAAAGTTTTTTTTTGATCCCTCACCCCTCTGGCGGGGCTTGGCTCACCGCCATCCGACAAACGCCGGCACCACCCTTTCACCCGCCCACATGCATGTCGCCTTGCGTCGGCGCCTTCACCTGCCGCTGCCGTTGGCATATGGGTTGTGTGGTGGTGCCGGGTTGCCTTCTTGCCCGCCGCGCCCCCCTCATCGAGCAGGCTTGGGTTCGCGTCGTGCCGCAGCAGTGGCTGGCACACACAGCCGCGCTTGGGGTCGCCGCAGGTGATCGCCGGCGTCTGGACTTCGTCCTGTGTGGCGCCACTTGCCTCAGCAAGGCCCTTTGCTGCGATGTGACGCTGGTCTCGCCTGTGTGCCGGAATGGCCACCCTCAGCAGCGGGCCGCTGAGCACGATGGCGCCGTGCTCGAGGTACGCGCCGGCGCAAGCAGGCGCGCTACCCTGAGCTTGCGGGTCTTGGCTGCGAGATCGGCGGGCGCTTCGGTTCCGAGGCGTTCGACCTCGTTCGCCGCCTTGTCCGCGTCCGATCCGTCCGCGCTCGCGCGGCACTGCACGGCGTCGCCCTTCAGCGCGCTGCGGTGTCCACCTTGTTGGGCGGCGCCTGGCTCTCGCCTGTGCGGCCTGCTGCGGATGTGGGGCCGGACCTTGGTGGCGCCCTCGGCGCCGGGGACGTGCCTCTTCCCAGCTGCCTCCCCTTGCGGGGGAAGTCGTGGCGTGCTTGCCGCCTGCTGTCCCCTCTTCCCCGCCTCCTGTTTCAGGGGGGTTTTTGGGGCACTCGTGGCTTCGTGCGGGCAAAAAGGTGCATGGGAAAAAAAACTTACCTGGAGATTCAATCGTCAAGGAATTCGTAGTCATTCTCGGCATTGACCCTGTTTTGGACGCAAACGCCCGCAAATTACCGCAAACGCCTAGAAACAGGAAACGCCCGCAAATTGCCGCAAACCGCCCGGGCAACCGCCCGCAAAAAAACGCAAAGCACCGCAAAACGCCTAAAACACGTTTAAACAAAAAAAAGACTTGAGAACCAGAACGTCTAGGAATTTCTCGGCATTGGAATCTCCAGGTACGCGTTCTCTGTGAGTGTCGTCGCCCTCGAGATCCTCTTGGCGGCCACCGTGCAACCCGGTCCGGCGCACGGAGTCGAGGCTGCGAGCAACAGCCCACGAAGCACCCTCGTCCTGTCGCGTCGCATCAAGGCCTAGCTACGACCACACCAGTTTTTTTCCTCTCACCCGCTTGAGACCGTTTCAGAATCACGGGTGGGGACAGGCGAGGTGCACAAAGAAGCTGCGCTGAAGAACCAACTAAGGTTTCACCTCAGCCTGGGGGAAGCCAAAGGGACGAGAGCTACAAACAAGACGCAAACGTTAAACTGCCGACATACCCCGGCATGCATCCAAATCATGTCCATGTTTTCTGGCTGATTAAAAACTCAATTTGTGTTCCCAGGTCCCTTGAACGTTGGACGGGTACAGCCTTGCGAGCAACTGGAGGGGGATCTCAATTGCCCCAAGCAGCGAAGGGTCACGCACTCCCAAATCTCCCTTCCTGAGTTCCTGGACTGTTTTTTTTGGAAGAGGCATACAACAAGTTTGGGGTACTTTTGTTGGGCCATGCGCTCAGGAAGGAGACCCACCCTTGGGAGGGTGTTGGCAAGTGGTCGGCCTGGAAGTCTGTGTGCGTTTTTTTTTTGGTCTGGGGGGGGGGGGGGCGCGGGACGTTCATTTTTTGTGGGAATGAAACCAAAAGTCTGGACCTGCTTGGACAGAACCCACTCAGGAATTGAAGTGTTTTCGGTTACCATCATGAAGCCCCACAGTTGGGAGTACTGCGAAATTTAGGTGTTTTGGGAGATGCCCGAATAATGTAACAGTTCCTTGGTATCACAGAACTGGGCCTGTCATATCTTTTCAGGGGACTCGTTTTATTTTGGAGGCTTTCTGAAACAAGACGCAGAGTTTGGAGATTGTTTAATTCAAGGAACCCGCTACGAACACGGGAAGCTCCGAGGAAGGAACCGTCTATCTAGGATTTCTCGTAAGTTGATTCATTCGAAGCTGTCTTCTTCGACCCCTGATAGCTTCATGAGGGAGATTGCACTTGCAAACGGAGCAAGGGGAGTAGGTCAACGCAGTGTCAACGCAGTCACCGGCGAGTTGCACGTCAGCATTTTGGCTCTCACCTTTGGCCTTTGACTCAACAAAGTGAAGCTATGTCGTCCCGAGGTTTGCTCTTGGCAGCTTGCTGCGCCTCTGCCTGGGCCTGCACGAGCAGCGGCGAGTTCGACCAGGCGGCCTTCACTGCGTCCTTGTATGGCGGCTCCTTCGGTGGCATGGCGCTGGCCTTGGTCATGGTGATCCTGGTTTCCTTGCCGCTGTGCTGCGGGGTGTTGAAGCAGTACGGCAAGATCATTGCCACCGTGGCCATCGTGCTTGGCATCTTCTCCCTCATCATTCCGGCCTTCGGTTCTATGGGCGCTTGCGTGCCCTTCGTGGATGCCATTTGCCAGGAGCGCTGCAGTGGCTACGAGTGCACGCAAGATGAGAAGGATGGCATGGGAAGTGTGTGCAACGCGCTGGGCATCTTGGTCGTGTACATCGGAGCCTTCGGCTGGGCCACCGTCATCCTTGGCATCGTGGCCTCTGCGCTGGGCTGCTGCGTGTGCTGCGGCTGCTGCAAAGCCGGGATGGAAGAGCCAGCGCCCGGGGCGCCGCCCGTGGTGGTGGGGGCGCCCGTGGAGCCGTCTGGAGGGTTGAGCTTCAAATGAGACATGGACTCTACTTCAGCCGCCGAAGCTGTGAAGCTGTGAGGGCCAGAAGTCTCGCCAGGGGCTGCAAGGGTAGAACCCCTGGCTTCACCCGCCTGCCCAAAGGGTATGGCTGTGCCTTGACCGGATGTTGGGCACATGCTCTGCATCCACCGCTGAGCGCAACAAGCTAGCCGCGTGCAATTCACAGGGCTTGCAGGAAGATGGCTTGTGTTGGGATTCTGGATGTCCTTGCAAATCTTTTGCGCTTGCTTGCAAAGCACCATGCCACGTGTCTCATAAATGATGTTATCAAACTTATTGAGCGCCCTGGACGTCCGAGGAAAAACCTTCTTCGAAGGGAGAAGGCATTGGAACATGTCAGCAACACAAAGGTGCCTAACATGGCGCCGCTCTTAATAGCCACAACGACCTCAGTGAGGGAACCATGACCATGGGCCATATGCGTTTGTTTCCAAATGGGGTTTGCCTTTGGCTCCCCTCTTGTAGACGACCGCATTGGGCAACCAAGCCGGGCCAAAAAGCGACGCGCCTGGTATGGTTCTTTGGCTGCACTGTTAGCCGCAGATTTTGCTTGGATTGCTTGCCGCAGATTTTGCCTAGTTTGCGTGTTGCAGATGTTTTCTGGATTGCTTGCAGCAGATTTTACCTGGATGGCTTGGTTGAGATTTTGTTTGGATTGGAATTTGCCTGGATTTGTTGTCCCCGATTTTGGCTGCATTGCTTGCCTCAGATTTTGCCTGGATTGCTTGCCGTGCATCGCTTGCCTCAGATTTTGTCTGGATTGCTCGCTGCAGATTTTGCCTGGATTGGCTGTCGTGGATTTTGCCTGGATTCAGCTTCAATTTACATCCGTGGTTTATTTATTTATTAATTTATTGATTTATTTATTTTAAATTTATTTTGACTTGATGCTGTTGGCACAGTTGGCCGAGTTTGGGCTTGCCAACGCAAAGACATCACAAGTCATAAGTTGTAAAGTCCGCCAATATGACCTTGGCAGCTTGCGGCGCCAAGGCACCTGAGCCAGAACCAAGACTCCGAGTGAACAATAGTACGGGACTCAAAGTACGGGACAATCCCAAAGCACGGAACACTCCCAACCATAAATAGGTGTGGCAGTGGCAGAGTTTGAGTCAGACCGCTATGAGTTTCTGGGGCCAGGGGCGCAAGTCTGTGAGATGGAATAGGCATGTCCAGGTTTCGACGCAGCGATCCGGATCACTCCGCAACACACTTCAAGGCTTTCGCTAGCGGGCTGCAAAGTTGGAGTCGTCCAGGCTTCCAGCATCCAGCCTGGCATTGCAATGTGACAGGCTTGTCAAGGCAACACTGTCCTCAGATGCGCACTCGCTTGATGCAGCCAAGCAGCGTTACAAGTTGCCGGGCCGATGCTCACACACGGCCTTTGGCCATGGCAAAGGGTGGCGCATCGGATAGGCCGGATCTGGGGTCGAATTGGCTTTGCACCAACAAACCTTCAGGCTCACGGAACTGCTGACCAACATTCCGGCAAGCCATGGTTGTTGTGGGAAAACGTTTTACATTGATGGTTATCGTGGTTTAGTGGGACATTCCCACTTAACTGCTAAAAAAATAGTTTTTTGCTCCCCTTCCAACGTCAACCAAGAAAACGCCTCGTTTGTTCGTGCCAGGTGCGCTGGTGCCGCGAAGGTGCACGAACCAGTTTCGAGCATTTTCTGATGATGCCGAAGCATCCGAATCTGGGGAGGCGCGGGCTTTGGTTTGAATGGGTGCACGGGTCACCCAACCGACCCGGATTGCTCCCAAAGCGCCGCGGGTTTCACAGCTCCTGACTCCCTATAGCGAGATTGGGGTACGCACTTATACTTAAATCGTCCAACACAATTAATGCAGCAATTGCATGTTTCCTTCGTGGTCGTGGCTTTGGGGTATGGAAAGCCTTTTGCTCAGCATGCTCTTTTCGGATAGCGTTTTTAGTTGTTTTTTGTGTGTTGCCATTTCTGTAAACAAGCTACGGGTGCGCGCGGGCAACGGGTTTCTCAGTCTATTCGCAATGCAGCTGTCATAGGCTATATCGCTCCTTGCTTCCTGCCCAGGTTGTCAGCCTCTGGCGTTGCTGACCCGCAGCATGGTAATGTACATGCGCACGGCGCAATACAGCTGTAATTAGCGTCTTGAGCCTTTAGAATTCCACGAAGCGCAGGCTAGCTATTCGCCCGCGAATTGTTGGGTCGGGGCGCAGGGTTTGCTTTGCATCACTGCGACGACTGCAACATGACACCCGGCAAGGCCTCAACTGAAGATGCAGCCGGTGAAGCTGCGGGTGGCGCAGCTGCTGGTGCAGATGCAGGCGAACAGGCGCGGGAATGTGGTGCATAGATACTCGGCAGCCAGGGCTTCTGCGGACTCAGCAAGAAGTTACTCGTAGCTTTGGGAAAATCTACCCCCGGGAGAAGTTGAGCCCCAACGAAGGCGCCGTACTTCGGGTAAGTTTTAATCAGGCCGGTGAAGCAAAATTGGACATTTGTGCAGGGTTCGTTGCATGGCCCCAAAGCCATGTGTTCACCTTGCCGACTGAGCCCTCAGTCACAAAGAACCAGCCCCGGGGCTTCCAACGTTCGCGTTCAGCCAGGCGCCGCCGCGACATGGCTGGGGCCTTGCTCGGGAGAGGAGAGGTGCAACACGAGGGCTGCGCCGAAGAACCGGCTACTTCCGTTTGATTACGAGTATTTTCTTATTTACCCCTGTTGGTTTTAAAGGGAATCTATCACTACTGGAAACCATTTTTTCCAGGGGACTGAAGCAAATGTTATTTTCCTTGTTGGTCTTAAACAGAATTCATCACTACTGGACATATTGTTATTTTTGCCAGGAGACGAAAAAAGCAAAGACTAAGGTTTCACTTCAGCCTAGAGCTAAAGGGACGAGCTTGCCACAAACAAGACCCAAACGGTAAAAGCTGCCGACATACCGTGCAGAAAGAGTCAGAAGTCGTTGGTCCAAACCATAATGTGGATGTTGCCATTCAAGTCCTTCTTCTGGCCGCCCAAATCCAGTTCAAAGAGCAGTCTGTGTTGTCAGGTCCCTTGAAAGCTTGACATATACAGCTTTTGTGAGCAACTTCCTTACCTCTTAAAAACACAACTTTTCAACTTTTTGGGTAACATGGGCTATATGTCTGTAAAAGATGAACTGGGTAAGCAACTGAAGGGGGGCCTCAAAAAGTTTGTGGTTCCTTGGCCCCCTTGAAACCAAGGGGCGTCCTTTGACTCCCAAGTCTCACTTCCTGTAATTCCAAAGGACCTCGTCCTCTGACCATTTGCGGGGCATAGAAACAGTTTGGGCCCGGAACTTTTTTTGGGCGATCGATCCGCTCAGGAAGAGAGAAGTTTGCTGGTTGACCAACACCAGGCGTTCAGTGAGCGCTCTCCAAGGTGAGAAATGGAGTTGGCTAAGGGCCAATACCCTCCGGACACAACCCACCTTTAGGCCTTGTCTAGGGCTGGACTTGGGGGTATGTACCCTGTATAACCCTAGTCAAGCCACTAATTTTGGGGTCCATTTACGGGTTGATCAACATTGTTGGCCCCCAAATGACCAAGGGTAGCTTTTCCCATGTGGTTGACATATCATTTTACCGGTTTTTCCAACCAACAATCATGCCATGCTTACCGGACCTTTTGATCAGCCTGCTTGCGTTTTTTCAATCTTATGGAGCCCTGAACATGGCTGGAACCCCTTTACCAGAGACCCCTACTCTAGATGGACGAAATCCGGCACCACCTAAGAAGCCCTGGAATGGTCTGCTTCCCTGCAAATACCAACAAACGGTGGTTTCAACCATGGTTTCTTAGGTGATGCGAAATGGATTTCGTAACCATCCACAGTATTGCCCGTGTACCGCTCACTTTTGGTGTTGTTTCAAATTTATCCCACTTTGTTTGGTGTTGTTTCAAATTTAGGGAAGCCCGAAAATGGCTGGATTCCCTGCAGCAGGGACCGTGCATAACCCATGTACCACTCTTTTGGGTACCGAGTCACAAAAAGACACGTCCAAATCGTGGTCACTTCCGCATAGTTTTTGAAATGGGACTGGATTCGGGGACTCCTACAACCCACATACCGCTCATTTGGGTGTGGATCAAAAAAAGGTACCGAGAATGGAACCTTGGTAAAGGGAAACATGGACTAAAACTGGTTTAATTTTGATCCACACCCATTTTGGACGTTCGTTTGGGGTGATGCGGGGAAAAAAACCGAGCGAGGCCTCCTGCCGCGGCTGAGCGCGCGAAAGCTTCGATCGGACCTGCCGCCGGCGTCCTGGCGCTCGGTGCCGGCCTCGGGGGGAATCCGCGGGAAAGTGGCAAGCCTGGAGGTCAGCTTCTTCTTTTCTGTTTTTTTTTGTTTTTTTTGTGTGTGTGTGTGTGTGTGTCTGTGTGTGTGTGTGTGTGTGTGTGTGTGTGTGTTTTTGTGTTTTTGTGTGTTTGTTTGTGTTTCTTTTTTTGTTTCTGGCATTTTTTGTTTTTGGTTTCAATGTTTGTCTGGTGTTTTTTTTTGTGTTGTTGTTCACGTTTTGTGTGTGTGTGTGTGTGTGTTTGGTTTCTCTTTTTTTTTGGTCGGGGTGGGCCTGGCTTCCTCAGTGCTTTAGTATGTTTCTTTCTTTCTTTCTTTTTTGTCGGGGGGAGGGGGGGGACGTAGTGGTAAGTAAACCAGAAGTGGACTTGCTTTGGACAGATCCACTCAGGAAGTGAGGTGTGTCTGCCTGTGGCGAGCGATTCCGCCGATTCCGGGGTAAAACGAGGTCACCATGATGAAGCCCCTAGATCACGCGTCTCAGTTGAACGTACTGCGAAATTTGGGGTCCCTTTCAAGATACCCCAATCAGTTCTTCACTGGCCCATTTGGAGATGGTTTGATTGAAGGAACCCGCTGTGAGCAAGGAAGCTTAAAAGAAAGTACCAAGTACCAGAAGTGCAGAAATCATGAAGCAGCTCCCTCGGCCCTAGGGCAAGGACATTTTGGTAAGTCGCAAGTGGAACAGGGCTTGCTAGAGAAAGTCAGCTTTATGTTCTGAGGGAACTATGTAGCGCCACTAGCGCAGCGCTTGTACACTTGCCCGGCGTGGTTGTGGAATGTCGGGTTCTAGGGCTAGCGTTTGTGATGCAAATTGGGGCCCCTTTGTTCAGCGAGCGAATATTCATGGGTATGGACAACTTTGCAGTCAGAAAGACTCAGACCGCGAGGTTTTGTTCCACCTGGTTGTTCAACAGAAGAAGGATGGGGGCCCAAAATCACTTCATCGCATCTTGTGCCAGTCAGGTTGGACGTCACATGCATAGGTGTCCTTCTTGGTTAGTTGCTTAAAAAATAGAGGGCCCTGGTTTAGACGGGGCTTAAGAAGGCCGTCGTAAATGGAACCAAGTCTTCCAAAGGGGTCCTGCGAGCTTCCATGTTAGTCTGAGGGAGGGTGTTCCATTACTTTTTGCTTAACAAATAGAGGGCCCTGGTTTGGATGGGGTTTCTTCCGTTTACCAGGGAACCAACAGGCCACCTATGCGTGACTCACATGTTGGCCCGAGGCGCCGGACTGGGTTGACCTGGAGTTGGAAAGGGCCGGACTACCGCCCGAGGCAACCCGAGGGTCCGATGGGAGGGGAGGCGGTCAGAAAGCCGGCAGCGAGCTTGGGGGTCGCTGTTTACACGCTTCACTTGGTGGCTCCCAGCCATCCGGTTCCTTGGCCTTTTAGCTTTTTAGTGTTTAGTGGTGGTTTCCATTTAACCCACCAAAAGTTAAACTTTAGCAGGGGATCTGAGGGCAGCGCAGACTTCAAGATAGTCTTGTGTCTAGTTTGCAGTAGGTGGGTTAGAGCCAACGGCTTCTTATTGCGTTTCACCTGGCGGTTGCAAAAACACAACTCACTTCCCGAGTTCCTGGACTTAAAACGTTTTGGGAAGACCATCTTAGTGACAAGCAACAAGTTTGTCGGCAACCCAGGAAGCGAGTTTATGCCACACGCCGTTTGGACAAAGCTGAATAGGTTTGACGCTCAGTCAGTTGCTCGGTCATGGGTTGCGCTGACCAAAGACTTCGACGGACAAGGAGAAACTTGGCGGGGGTTGAGGCCCCTTTCTGGAAACCTCGTCCCCCCCCGCCTTACGTGACAAGCGGCGGAAAATGACACGGGTTCAATCCTGGACACCTGGTTTTGGCAACGTTTCCTTGTGGCAACCTGCGTCCAGTTGAGCAGGTGCCAGCTGGACGAACTCAACCTTGCCGGTCTTAGATTTACAACCAGGAACCTTGAGAATATGGGTCTCTCTTTTTGTGAGTGTACCCTTTTTGGTTGGTTTGAAAGGGACACCAAAAGCAATAGCGAAGCCATTTTGGGGGGTCCAGCAAAAAAAACACGATCCACCCATATGAGCTGTGTTTGGGCCTATATGGGTATGGGTCAAAACAAAACCACCAACAAACCGCAGGTTTTAGTCTTTGGTTCCATTTACCAGAGCAAGCCATTTTGGGTACGCATTTTTGACCCACACCCATATAAGGAACCTTTAGAATATGGGCATCGGTCAACAGCCCGTGCCCCCAGTAAACATCCCAATCCCCACGAACATAGGTTCTAAAATGGGTGGTGAATTCACCTACCCCAAAATGGGATCCCATTGGTCTGAAACCACAGCCATATGAGTGTGTTTGGCCTCGCACTTGGCCTTCCGGGCCCCGCGATTTGCTTCAGGCCGAGCTCCCGCCCGACGCGCAGCTGGCCTCTCGCTGGGCGGAGGAGGAATTCGAGCCGCTTGGCTTCTCGCTCCATTTCCATTCTTTCCAGGGATCCGAATCTTTCTAAAAAACCACCCAAAACCCTGGGGAAACAGCCGGTGGATCAACCCCTAGAGCATCTGGTTCGCGCTGACCTGCCTTCGGGTGGGATCTGGACAGCAAGAACCACCCGCAGCTCATATCACGCGTTCGATTTATTCCCTGATCCTTTCCCTCTTTCCAACCATGGAAAGTGGACAAAGGGCTTCCCCTAAAGGAAAGCTCTCGTCTTCCGAAGCCCTTCTGTCAGCTTCCAGCGACTATGAAGCCCCTTGGGCTATGTAATTAGCTGGGAGAATGCGCCACGGGATCCCTGAAGTGGAGATGTTTTTCACACCGCTGGGGTATGCTGGATCATTTGCTCCACTTGTCGCACCGGAAGGCTTGGGGCATAGGGTTCGGGAAAAATATAAATGGTTTAAGCAACCAGACTCTGGCAGGCTTGAAGGGAAACTGCCCAATCTTATTGGGCCAATTTGGGGTTGGCCATGATGAACACATGTGCCATGTTGATTGGAACAAAGGCTTGGCATGCCCCAGTGGACTCCTGTCGCATTCTCCGGATGGCTTTTGATGAAGGCCCTGTGAACATGGTTGAACCATGGCCACGTGACAACTTGTTGTGCCAGCGGAGATTGAGCGAGGTGCGAGGGCCAGAGTCTTACCACTGCAAAGTCTTACGGCTCAAACACATGTACGCAATTTTTGGCATGGTAAATGGAACCAACAACTACCCGCAGTTCTGCCCTGGCCTTCGCAACTTGCTGGCTCTCAGGGAATGAGGGAATGACCCCGAGAAAAAACCATCCCAAAACCCAGAATGTCATTCCGTAGTGAGCAAGTTAATTAGTGTTGACCCCATATTAAGTGTATTAATAGGGGGGTGTCCTCGGTGTGGGGAATGAGACCACTTTTGGAGGGGCCAAAAGCCACCCCCCTGTTGAACAAGTGGTTGGCTGATTAATATGGTTGTGGCTCAAAATTAACCAGGAGGGGCAAACCGCAGGTTTTGGTCCATGCTTCCACTTCACAGGGCAACCCATTTTGGTATTCCGGTTTCTTGAGCCACGGCCATATGGGGTCAGCATTACCGAAAGAATGGCAGGAGCCGAGTTCGAGTTGCCACGTTGCCCCGAGGCCCGAACCCAATGCCCGAACCTCAGGCCGTCACGTTCGCGGCCAGAGCTTTGGACTAAACCGTTGGTTGGGCTTGGGGTGCTCAACAGTTTGGTTTTCACATGTTGGATTTGTTTTTCAAAATGCCCCCCTGGATACTAATAGTTGTCCTCTTTTTTATTTATTTATTTATTTATTTTTTGGGGGGCTGTCGCCTTTTAAGAAAAGGTGCGTCAGTGCATCACTTTTGGAGAATTCGGCGAGTACATCCGGGGTCAACAGGTCTCAACCGGTTCACTCGCCGAAGACAAGTCCGAAAAAGCCACGCGGCCATTCCATTTCAACGAGTAGAATGGCTGGTGTTTGGTCTGATCGGATTGCCCCTTGGGCCTGACTTGTCCATTACATCTACACTTTAGGGTGCTTAATATGCCGCCGGCGACACAATGTACATTCACTAACTTACGCATACTTACTTTCGCTCACCTAACTCACGCTCACTGACTTGTGCATACTTTCTTTCACCCACTCAACTTACACCCACTGACTTGTACATACTTACTCTCACTCACTCAGCTTACACGCGCTGACTTTCAATCCCTCTCACTCTCCCTCACGCAAATCACACATACTTATTGTCTCTTACTCAACTTACACTCACTCCACTCACTAGCTTAAGCACACTTTCTTTCGCTCACTGGCTTACACATACTTACTCTCACTCACTCAACTTACATTCACTTTACAAAAGGCTAGGCATGTGGGGTTCTCCGGTCCTTTTATGGATTATTTGATGTCTCCCAGTTGGTTGTTTGGGTTGCTTGTTGGCCGGTTTTGACGAGTTTTGGTGGGGAGGGGCGCCCGTCACCAATGGAACCAAGTTGAGCCGCAAAGCTTTGCCGAGCCGCTTCCGGTCCTCAAGCGGGAATACGGGCCACTCCCATTTGCTTTAAGTGTTCTCATCTCCGAGTTGCACTCTGAGGCCTGTCACGCCTTTGGAGTCATCATATTTTCTGGACGGCTGGATTGCGAGCTGTCGGAAGTTGCTATGTTTGTATTGAAGCAGGGGGGCCATAAGGCGCGGTTTTTGGAACACCAGCAAGAAGACTCATCATTTTTTGATGCTCTCGCCTTGGTTGATTGCGAGCGGCAAATATTTTGCCGCTTGCCCCTTTGGCCGCAGGTCACGCGTCCATAGGCTGCGCCACATGTTCCAGAAACGGGCCCCGCAAAAGGCCCATCTTTGGTCCGGTTTTCCGGTTTCCCGTTTTCCGGTTTCCCCCTACTTCAACAAGTCTTTGACTGCCTCTCCATTGCAACCCCGTCTCCCCATTGTACACGGGCGCCTCTTTGACATCAATCGGCCGAAGGGCGTCGCCTTTTTCCGCGGGTGTCGGACTGACAGCCAAGCCGGCTGCTGAAGTGTTCCAAGCATTACAAAGTGCCAGGGCCGGGAAGCATCCACGGCATCCTCCCCCGGCTGTTTGCTTGAAGCCAGCTCGTTGGCAAGTGTGACCATTCCAACTTCCTTGACTCAGATTGGACATCATTCATTCTGTGGTTGCCGCTTATTGGCAAGCGTCACCATGCCCAACTCTGTGAGGTTCATTGGACGGTTTGCTTTCGAAGACTGCAGCTGATTAGCAAGTGTCGCCGTTCCAAACTCCGTGAACGCGATTGAACAAAGTGCATTCAGAAACTGCAGCTCATTGGCAAGCGTCACCATCTCCAACTCAGTGAGGTACATAGGGCTGTTTGCGTTCGAAGACTGCAGCTCATTAGCAAGTGTCACTGTTCCAAACTCCGTGAATGTGATTGAACAAGGTGCATTCAACAACTGCAGCACATTGGCAAGCGTCACCATCCCCAACTCCGTGACGTGCATTAGACCATTTGCCTTCCGAGGTCGCAGTTCATTGGCAAGCGTGTCCATTCCCAACTCCCTGACGCACATTGCACCATTTGCCTTCCAAGGTTGCAGCTCATTGGCAAGCGTGGCCATTCCCAACTGTGCGAATGAGATTGGAGAAGGTGCATTCTGTGGTTGCAACTCATTGGCAAGCGTATAGGAGGACGGGTCTTCAAAGACTGCAGCTCATTGCCAAGCGTCACCATCCCCGACTCCGTGACTGAGATTGGAGAAGGTGCATTCTGTGGCTTCAGCGTATTGGTCAACTCCGTGACCAAGATCGGAGCATTGGAAGGTTGGAAGCAGATGGGAGTAAATAAAGAGTTTTGGGCTCAGAGTATGGCGAGTCGCAGTTGGTTGAAATGTTCACAACACTGGGCAACCACCCCCCAGTTTGAAGAAAGACAGTGACAAGTGCGCCCCTGGCTGAGTCGGAGCCACACCGAAGGGCGGCGAGCCGTGGTGATGAACTTTTGGCCTCAAGTCCGTTGGCATTTGGTTGCAAGGGGGATACCTAAAAATGCATGGCGGGGTACATGCTGCACATGACATTTGGGCAAGATCCCAAGGCAAATAGGCACCGAACGCTTTGGTTGAAGATATGTGCCATGGTCAGCAGACCGGTTCCTTGGGTTGACGTTGGGGCGGTCATGCTGGTAAGGATCCTTAGCCGAGCCGAGCCAAAAAGCGACACACCCCATATGGGTCTGTCCTTTTTTGTGGGTCCCTTTTCAAGGTTAGTTTGAAGGGAAACCAAACGGAAACCATGCATTTTTTTGTTTGTTTGTGTTGTTTTTGGTTTCGGGGGGGGGGTCCCCTAACAAAAGACACACCAACATGTAAACAAGCAGGGCCTCCTGCTCGCTGAGGTGCTTTGGCCTCACGCCGCCTTGGACGACCACCGCTCCAGGGCCTTCGTCCTGTCACTGGCTCAGTTGCGAGCGTCCGTTCGCTGTCGCTGTGTCTGACCGGGCCTGGAACCGACCGCTTTTGTGAGGGTGCCCCAAACGCCGTGCTGGGGCCAACCTCCCTGTTTGATGATGCTTAAGCACCTGCTGTCTCACTTTTTGGTCAAAGATGCCCCTCATTTTGTTCCAAACTCTGAACCTCCAAACATGGAAGCGCTGACCGAATGCTTCAGCGTGAGGAAAAAATATGAATCCGAGCTCTTGCCCCCCTTCCCAAGGCCGAGGGGTGCGGAGGACACCAAGAAGCTGGAGGAGAACCGAGCCAGGCTCCAGCCGTGGGTGGCTGGTGGTGCAATTCGGGGGGTTTCTTATTCTGATGGCGCCTCACCGGAGGGCCCTGAAGGAGTTCACCCAGGGTGGAGCTCGGGTGAGTGCTCAAGTATGCCCCCAAAGGGATCCACATGGCGGTTTTCTCTTTGGTTTCGCCTTCAAACCAACCAGAAAGAAAGTGCGCGCGGCCGTAGTGGCCTTTGTTGAGAGGGTGGTTCCGGGCTTCATCGAGGTGGGTTTTGGATGCGATTCCTTTGTTCAGGTGGTCGCAGTGCTGATATTTGCCGGCACTCGGGGGTGGGGAACTGGAACTCTACCAGGTTCTACTTGGATCGGTTGAGTTTTCTTCTCGGTGGCTTTTCGACTCGGAGGCTCGAGGCGCTTTGGAGGATGAGCTGCGGCCTGAGGGGCGGCCAGTGAGGTTCTCGTTGCGAGTCTACGTCTAGGGTGGGATGGGTGGGGGGCGTGAGGAGTAGTCGCCCTCAAAAGGGGGCGGGGCAAGACCCAAATCAGGGAGCACAAGATGATTTCTTTTGTGGTGCGCGGCTCAAGTGAGCTAAAGCCAAAGGTAGTTGTGAGATTAGGAGCGCGTTCCCGATGAACGGAGGCTTGTCCTGATAACTCTTGCTTTCCGCAGCTCCCCCGGTAGACGGATTTGGGATTTGGGCGTGCCTTGCTTTGAGGATACTGTTGTGCGTATTTTAAACGTCATCCAAAGGACAACCGCCATTTTCCCCCTGGTAACAAGACGGATTTGGGTATGTCTTTCTTTGAGGGGTAGTGTGTTTGTGCTCATTTGCAACGACATCCAAAGGACAACCTCCATTTTTGGGGTCCCGTATGTTGAGACACACCCATTGGTTGAAAAGGAGCTCGCCTTAGCGAGCTCCAAGCGTTGCTTCGGGGCGCCGCTTCCGGAGTTGAGGGGCTCGACCAAAAAAGTCGCCAGAGGCCAACATGGCCCTCCAAATGGGGGCATTTCCCCCCAGAAAAGGAATTGCTCCAAATGGGGACCTCTCCCAAAAAGCAAACGGATGGTTTCTCTGTTCTTTTTTTGCGCCTAGACCCACCTCACCCAACAAGACCCCCCAGTCCCATCCGCCCAGGCAGGTCGCATGGCACGAGCTGGGATGACCTCGATGCTGCCTTCGCCCGGGGCGCACAGCGCTTGCGATCGGTGGATTCGAGAGATGCAGGGAAGGAGACATGGAAGGACCCCTCGCAAAACCGTTCAACGGATGTTTTTCTTTTTTGAGGGGACCAATTCCTGGGTTCATTCCCACATTCCCTACTGAGCACCAGCAAGCCTTGGGCTTGAAGTGGCTGGCACTGTTGAAGCCGGAGCCTTCTTTGGGGCCACACCCTTTTTGGGCTCCATGTGGATCTGCGGGGGACATGGTTCGGGTTCACTATGGGCCAGACTCAGGCATGTTCTTTTTGGGCGGCAAAGGCTGAGGTGGGTCAACTCCGTTTGTGTTGACTATAGCGTTTTTTTTTGGGGGGGGGTTCCCCGGCTAGGCAGGTATGTGGCCGTGTTGTCAGGAGAACAGAGTTGGGTGCTGTCAAATGTTGTGCGGGAGGAGCTCTTGCAAGTTTGCTGTCAAGCCTATTGAGTTGCTCAGCTGTAGAGGTTTGTTTTCATTTCGGGGCACTCCCAGCTGGTTTTCCTTTGGCGTCCTAACACCCCCCCAAAAAAAATACAGAACAAAAGGAAAAGAAAGAAGAAACCAACAGAAGCAGCAAAACAAGACACCCAGAGGGGCAACATGGAAACCAGCCCCTAAGCGCCAAACCACCAAAAGCCAAATCTGAGATTTGGCTTTCGCTCAGGTGGCTTTCGCTCAGACGGGCAAAAGGAGGTATGCCCAATGGCACGGGACCTCGGAAGTGTCAACCTGTCCAACTTCATCTGCTAGGTCCCCCACTGCCCTCTTACCAACTTTTTTTTGGGGGAGGGTTCCCCTACTAAAATAGCCTACAGAAAAAAGTACCTTATTCTAATGGAAGCCACGGAGTTGCCATTTGGTGATCTTTTTTGCATAAACGGGCGGCCCGTGTTGGTTTGCCTTGCGGTGTCCATTAACAGGGTGTCCAAGCCATTTCCCTTTATAGGGAACCTCCAAACATGGCTTTCTCGTTTCCGTTCGTAAGCCACCCGTAAATTGAACAATTTGGAGGGGAATTCCCGAGAGTTCCTGGACTTGAATCCCTTTTTGGGTCCGGACGTTTTTGGTAGACCAGTTTGGACTTGGGCCAATCCCGTCGATCGGAAGTGAGTGGAAAGGCAAAGGGTCCAATGATCCGAGAGAGGAAGGGACATCGAACTGGGCTCGCAGTGCATCTGTGTGAAAGAGTTGCGGAATCAGTTGTAGAAGTGATAGGTTTGTCTTTTTTGGCCACAAGCTATTTGAGAGTACCGGTTTTCGGGGACTTATAAGTGATTGGTTTGTCTTGTTTGTCTTTTTGCCGAACTCTGTTTGAGGGGACTGGTTTGGGGGGGGGGGGGAGTGTGTTGTGGACTTCATGTTTTAGAACTGTTAGGCGGATTGGTGGGGAAAGGGAGGTCCCTTCAATTCAACAAGATGTTTGCACCAACAAGCCAGCTTTGCTGGACCAGGGGATAGCGCAAAAGAGGCAAATCTGCGGTTTTGTCTTGACCAGGTCAAGGGGGAAGATCAAGCCAGACGAGAAAGAGAGTGGGGCGGAGGCTGGGTGTTCGGCCAGCAGAAATCCAATCTCCGGCTGAAATCCGACAGGTCGCCCATCAGAAGGAAATGCTTTGGAGATTTTGACGCCGATCGAGCAAATCTGAAGCTGGAGTTTCCTTTGGCGAACATTTTGCTGTAAAAATGTTCTTTTAACTTTTTGATCCAACGAATGGGTTTTCCGTATTAAATCCACTAAAAGATAGTCACTTGCTCGCAGGGGAGCAGAAAGCAACGGAGATTTCCACCCCCCCCGCCCCCCGAATTTCTCCAGCTCTTGGCTTGGGGGTCCATTCGGCGTTTCCCACGCCAGCGCCACTTGGGTGTTCAAGCCGTTAGCAGGTCACCGGAAGTGCGGTTATCCACCCACAATTTGGGGGGTCCGGTTATGTCCGGTTCCTATGTTGACACAAACCCAGGGCCGGAAGTGAGCAACTACCACTGGCAAGCCTCTACAGCCCCCACCTGCCAACAGCGACTCCGATCCCAATGCTCACAAAAGATGACTTCGGCAGGCTTCCCATTCTAGAATCGGAGCCCCCGAAATGTTGGGCTTCCTCTTGGCTTCCTCTCACCCACCAAAAGGGTCATATAAGGGGCGACGTTGGAAGGGGAGCAAAATTTAATTTTTAGCAGTTCAGTGGGGATTTCCCACTAAACCGCAACAAGCAAAAATGTAAATGTTTCCCAACGACAACCCTTAGTTGGTTGGGATTTGTGGCTTGGGGATGTGGACCCCTGGCTCTTGTAGTTGGTTGGTGATTTGGATTGGTGGCCTGTTGGGTATGAACCGGTCATTGGGAAACTGCCGCTCCAGTATTCCAAGGGCACCTGACATGAGGCAAGCCCAACCCCCCCACCCACACCCACCCCCCCACCCCCCTCACCACCCCCCCCCACCCCACTCCGCCCCACCCACACCCCCCTCACCACCCCCCCACCCCACCCACACCCCCCTCACCACCCACCCACACCCCACCCACACACCCACCCACACACCCACCCACACCCCACCCCCCCACCCACCCACACCCCACCCACACACCCACCCACACCCCACCCCCCCACCCACCCACACCCACACCCCACCCCCCCACCCACCCACACCCCACCCACACACCCACCCACACCCCACCCCCCCACCCACCCACACACCCACACCCACCCAACTTGCACTTCCCATCGGCCGACCAGGACAAACCACCGACCGGCGGCTTCCGGGGCGGCTTCCGGGGCGGCGCGCCGGTCCTGGACGACCGGGATGCCCGGAACCTCCAGAGGATTGAGTTTCGGGGGTCGTGGGGGGGGGGGGGGGGGGGGGGCGATTTTGGTGGGACCCCTTTTTGGACCACTTGTTGAAGATCCTTTTTTTTCTTAATTGTGTCCCTGTTTTGTTTGTTGGAGCCCAAGAAAGGCGGTTGCAGCTGTGGCTGTATCTGCAGTAGCTGGGGGCAGGATTTCCAAGCAGATGGCGGACCCTCAACGTGTTTGCAACAATCCCGCCGCAAAATTCAGGGAACCGTCATGGGGTCCCAGAGTCGTACGCCCCGGAGCATCCCAGCGGATGGTGCTTCATTCCAAGGCCCCAGCCAGCTGTTACCAGTGCTGTGCCAGGGGTACCCAGAAGATCCCAGACGTTTAAGCCCCCAGACGTATCTTGTGAAGCCACGTGCCAAATCCGCCGACTCCCAGTTGCCGACTGCCGCGCTGGTGAAGCAGCACTGCGAGGCCGGGCTCCGGTCCGCTGCGGCGCATGGCTGGGCGGTTGGGCGAGCAAGCGTTTGAAGGCCGCAAGTGGCAAGCTTTGACAGGGCCCCTTAAAAGATACATTTTGCCCATTTGAAACATGGCTTTTTCCACCAACATAAAGGGAAGCCACCATTTACAAGGCAATGTTCGGGTGTATAATGTAAGAATCCCTGTTTGAGAGGAATGACAAAAGCAATGCTTTCGCCGGCTGAAGCCTGTGACGCCCAATGGGGTCCCTCCAGGTCAACTTGGGACGTGCGTTCGCCTAGTCTAAGCTCAACCCCCACCACCAAACTGAACAGAAATAGAATCCATGTTGTCCTTCCGTAACTAGGTTGGAATAAAGTGGAACTATGGAATGGCCTGGGCCACATCAACCATTCACCTTTACCAGCAGATTTGGAGGAACCCCCTTGCAAATCAGGAGATTTTGGGGTGTATCCCTTGTGCTGGTTCCATGCTCGTGTTGTCGGTGCTGGCTTGCCATTCGGACACAAACCCATGTGCCAATGGGGAAGCAGAAAGCAACCAACCGGATGTAAGTTACCACGAGTTGCTTCCAACATGTACGGTGCTGTGTGCCTTGTGCTCGCTACGTGCCATGCGTTGTCATAGACCATGGGGGAACCAAGAAACCAGGGATGTTTCAATTCTGCATTAAATGGGGAGCTAACGGTCTCAATTGTCCCCCGCCCCACACACACACACAGAAAAAAGGCCTACTACAATTACGTGAAATGGGGAGCAGGCAGGGTTGTGGAATCAAGGGGCTTATCCCCACTTCTGCGATACTGTTTTGGGAATCTGCCCCCTTTTCTGGGGGGGTTGAACGTCTTTGGGAAGCGCTTGTTGTTGCATCATAGTGGCAGCCCTGCTTCCCAAGATTGCAGGGGTACCTTCCCCATTCTGTCCAGGGATCCAGAAACCCAAAAAAAGCAGTTTTTTTAAAAGTACGGTGGTTGAAAAGAATGGTTGGAGTCAACCCCTAGAACCTTGGGAACTCGTTACATGGTTTCGGGTTCGCAAATTTTTGGCACCAGATCATTGGTCTAGCAACTTGCGCCACTCGCTTTTCGCCACCGCGCCAGGTCCGGGCCCGGAAATTCATCGGGCAGTTCTGTCGGCGCCTCAGAAGGCTGTCACGCTGTCCCAGCAAATTCCTTCGCCTCGGGGTGGTTTAAGTGTGTCTCTGTTTATTTTTATGTGTGCGTCTCAAAGCATGGGACCCCTTTTTGGATGGTTCTACCGGGAAACCAAAAGGAGACCACCTACCTGGAGGGGTCTCCAATCTCCATGTGTTTTGAGTTTTGTTGGTTGGCGGAGATCTAGAAAACGGTTTGGATGCGGCGAATCTGTGGATTCAGCAAGGATACTAAAAGATTACTAAAAGCGAGCCAACCGAAAGCGCATCGGGGCCGTGTTTCCTCGAGAAAAGGTGGGAGTGACATTCACTTCCAGCGCCGCCCCGCGCAAAAGAAATCTCGCGCCTCGCGCGAGGCCCGCAGGGCCAGGACCCCAAGTTCCTCTTCCCCTCGGCCACCCGGCGCCTCACGGCGCGGCTGTACCGCCAGGACGGGTCTGGTGGAGGGCACTGCCTGAGGTAGGTTGTGACGGGCCGACTTTTGGTAGACGTCAAAAGCATTTTTCCACCTGTTCCCGAGCAGTCCAGGTGGTGAGAAGCCAACTTGGCAACTGGGAATGCGAAGCAAAAGGCACAACAAGACGCAAGTCGGGCACACGTCGAGCAACTTGTTTCAGGGAATGATCACCCATTCAGGTGTGTGGCTCATCAGCCCAGGTGCGGCATCCCCAACTTCGAGCCCATGCAGGGGATATGCAAACCAGGTCTAGGGGACCAAGTGAGGAACACGCCCTCCTCCCCAGTTTTGGGCCTTTTTCTAAACCAAACGCTGGGAAACCCACCGCAATTCCTTGGCACTCGACTTGAGAGGGGAGACGAGGGATGCTTCCAACCATTAGTACGTGCGGAGTTCGGCTTGTGTACGTTCTGATCGCCCAGATACGGTTTCCACCCCAGGCAAACTAGGTGTTTAGCCCACAAATGTTAGTGGCCATAAAGTAGGGCCCCTTCTGGCAGCCCGGCATGGTAAAAAAGGCAATCGGATCCATCCGTGTCTGATTCTGGCTGCTATTTAGCACCCAGCCGTTGTCTCCAAACAAGTGGTGGGGGGGGGGGGGAACACCCCGAAATCTGTGCCGTGGTTCGCCTTTCTTCCAAAAAAAGCAACAACAAGAAAGGATAAAACGACAGCAAAAGAAAGCGCACTCCGAAAAGAGGGGAAACGTGCCAAGAGAAAAGGGATCCCCACGTGTAAAAATAGGGGGACCCCGCGGGTTTCCCTCTGGCTTCGCTTGAAACCAACTTGAAAACGGAACCCCCCGGCCTCAAAATCGCACACACACACACACACACACGTACTATGTAAACATACAATGTGGCATATATATATATATATAGGTGTGTGTGTGTGTCGAAATGTATATGTATATGCACATATCATATCTACGTACACGTTTAACCACATACAACCATATATAATCTCTGGTTCAGCGGCCCTGCCACCACCAAGACCCATTTGACACATTCGGACCGCGCCTCGAGGAGAAGAAGAAGTTCCTGGCGCCGTGGGCCCCCGGCAAGCGGACGCCTCAGTTTTTTTTGGAGCGGACGCCTCAGAGTCCCCGGGCGTTGGCTTGGGAAACCAACCCAAAGTTGATCAACTTGGTCCCTCTCTCACCCTTTTTTGGAGGAGGGTTTCCCTACTACAATAGCCTCAGGGAAAAAGGGTACCCTTATTCCAACCTCTCTACTGGAGGACCTAGTGAACATGGGTAACTGTTCCCATGGTGAGATATTTTCCTTTTGGGTGGTTTCCCCAATGTTCGCCACATGTAAACCAGAAATCGCAAGTTGGTGGGTGGGGTGCCCTGATTTGGAGTCCCAAAAGAGCCTCCTTTCAGCTTGCGTGGCCTATGGGCTTGGAAAGCTTGCCTAAACACTTAGAGGGTCACGTAGATTCATAGGGGCGGGTCTTTCCAGGGTGCAGCTTTGGTTTGGTTTTGGGATGCTGCTTGAGAAACCTTTTGCCCACGGGGTTCGCAGGGTTGGGAGAAAACTGTTTGAAGCCAGGCCCGTGCCTTCTTTAAAGGGAGAATGGCAAGGACACCCTTTGCTCTAAGGGTTGATTCCCCATCCTTTTCAAGCATCGTTCCTCAAGCCAAAAAAGAACAAACACGGCCGTTTCCCCTGGGCTTCCGGAGGTTTTCCGGATTGATTCGGATCCCTGGGTTCAGAATGGAAATGGACGGTAGCACCAGATGAACACCCGCGCGAACATGGAACTGGCTCCCTTTCCAAGAGGCAAAGCGTACAGCATGTGTCAAGTTGGGACCTCAAGCAGGGTGCTTCTGGTTTCTCATTCAAGCCGGCCTAACCTGAAAAAATGCGACCCTGCAAAAAGCACACACACACACACATACACACACACATACATACATATATATATATATATAGACGTATGTATAATATCTACATGTCTACGCACATGTTTCTGCGGAGGGTATGGTGCACAATTCGGAGAGCGGAGGCTGTCCGTGAAGCTCCAGCAGCTGGTGGCTGCCAGGATGTGCGGCGCCCAGTTGTCAGGCCGAGGTGGCTAGAGCGGTCGCGCCGGATATGTCCAGCCGAGAAGAGCACGCGGCTGACATCTGGGGTAAAAACTGGAGAGAAAGAGAAGCAGTGTGCAAGATGTTTTGAGTTTGGAGCATTGATTTTCTGAAGTTGGAGCATGGAAATGCTGTCCAAGCTTGGTTTCCTGACATTTTTCGGTTGGTAAGGGTTAATGGAGGGGGAGTGGTCCATAGCCAGAGGTCTGTTTTTGTGTTTGTGCTTCGCCTCCATCATTGGTTGGTAACTCGGCTGCTTTGATTGCTTCATGGTTGGTTGTTGGGTTGGTGGGTGGGGTTGGTTGGCTGTTTGGTTTGGAGGCCCCTTGCGCCTCCCTTGGTCCAGGGCTTCTTTGCAGGGGTGGACGCGGCCAAAGTGGGCGCGGGAAAATGCGCCAGTAGTGCATGTGAACCAGGAACGGCCCCAAAAGGTGACGAATCTGTGCAGAGGATAGGGGTGTTCATGCTGGCATCCCCTTGACCAAGCGATTGGCCCTTAGCGATTGACCAGCACGGCTGCCTAGGATCCGGCGTGAGACCAACGAGCGAACCTATGGCCTCAATCAAGGCGAGAGAGAGAGAGAGAAAGAGAAAAAAAGGACATGTAGCTGTGGGTAAAAAATAGATACCCAACATGGAACTCTGGTGAATGGAAACATGGACTAACACCTGGGGTCCCCTGCTGGTTTAATTTTGACCCATACCCATGTGAGTCCCAACAACGAGACACTGGACTCCTTTAAGTGGAAACACAAAGAAGGCCGAAGTCTTAAGTTTTCGCTCAAATGTAGTGGAACAAGGGCTCAGCTGCCTCTACTCACTCCCGATCGAGTATTGCATGATTTTGCTGGCATGATGGTTTCATAGTTTGCAAGGCCCGGCTCAAGGCCTGTCGCTCTGAAAGTCCCAGCTGATGCGTTGGAAAGCTGCAGGAAACTCATACACACACACACATGCATATATATGTTCCAGGCCGTGGACCCCCCCCCCCCACCCCCCCTGTGGGGGGGTTGGTGGTGGGGTGGTGGTGGGGTGTGGGGTGGTGGTTGGGTGGTTGGGTGGTTGGGCCAACCCCCCCCCCCTGGGTGGTGGGGTGGTGGGGTGGTGGGGTGGTGGGGTGGTGGTGGGGGTGGTTGGGTGGTTGGGTGGTTGGGTGGTTGGGTGGTTGGGTGGTTGGGTGGTTGGGTGGTTGGGTGGTTGGGGTGTGGTTCGGAGTTGGTTTGGGCTTGGTGGGTTGGTTTAGGGTTGGTTCAGGGTTGGTTCAGGGTTGGTTTGCGGTGGGTTTCGGGTGGGTTTGGGTTTTGGTTGATTTAGGCTTAGGGTTGGGGTTAAGGAGGGGTTGCAGGGTGGTTTGGTTTAGGGTAGGATGTTGCGAGAGGTGCGGGGGTGTTGGTTCACGGGGTAAAAGGGGGTCTGGGACCGAAGCTGCGTACTGGACAGCATCCCCAGCATTGCCAGCATCATCCCCAAGATGCGGATGATGCGGGGGAGTGGGGGGACCATACCATTGGGGGGGGGGGGGGGTACGTGGCCCAGGGACTGGTACATATATATATGTATAGGTATATGTATACGTACGTATACATAAACATACACAACACAAATGCCATCTGCCCCTCAGTTGATGGCTTTCAGGTGGCCCTAGTGACAGATTGGCTTTGCTTCCCTAAGAATATTGGGACCTCAAATGCTCTGTTGCTTGAGGTCCAAGGCCTTCGAATGGAGATCAATGGGGATCTAGACCCCTCAATGAAGGGTCCTTGCGGCGCCAGGTCCACAGCCTTCGAATGGAGGTGACGGCAAACCGGAGTAGACCACGTCAAAATGCCTTTTTCCGTCGTTGGAAAAGACGAGCGTGAGTTCTGGGCGAAGTATCGCGGGGCGAAACGTCACAACCACTGGGGAAGGGTTTTCCCAGTCGGCTTTAATATTTTTTTAAGGGAACTCTCCAGAGTTTCCTTTTAACCCCCTCCCCCCCCAAAAAAAGAGAAGAAGACACACACACACACAAAAACGCACAGGTACCCTCCAGCTCTGTGATCAGCCCTTGTGACGAACTGTTTGGGGTGATGCTATGCAGTTTCTGGAGGCAACTCTCACCCTTTCAAATGGGTGTGTCTTTTTAGGGGACCCCCAACACTGGGCTTTCCTTTGGGTTTCCTTGCAAACCACCAAACAAATCCTGAGGTTTTTGGGGAAGAAGATGCGCGTTCCTGATGCCTCCGCCCGTCCAATGAGCTCTGGTGCAAAGCTGGCCGTAGCAAACCCGCCCGCAGCATGGCCGATAAGCTCAGGCGCGGACGACTGACTGCAGGCGCCGTAGATGTGAGGTGACCTTTGCAAGTTGCCCTCACGTTGCGAACTTTGCTTTCTTCGGTACGATTCGCAATGCACGACTCGTAGCGAGTTCATCGTCAACTGTGGTTAGTAAAAGTGGGATTCCGGCACCATGACGAAGGTCCCTTTCAGACTTTTTTAAGACGTTAGCGTCACTTTAGCGGGTGTTGTTCGCATATTGGACTGGACGTCTAGAAGCCGAAGTCCTAGCATGTGTACTCAGCGTGAAATCGGAGCTTTCTTTGGCCATGTGGGCGACATGGCTCCCACCGCTGGTGGTTTGGATGGTTTGGGGATGGGAAGGATGAAGGAAGCCACCCTAGCCATTCGCACCAAATCAAACCACCAAGAGGCACACTGATTCGTGTTCCAAATGCATGCGCCCATGACAAATCCAGTCAGTTGAGGGAGACTCAGGTCTTGCTGGGTGGCAGCGTGCCCTTAGAGGGAGCTTTTTTGGGGGGGCCCTGTAGGAACAGGTGGGTTTGCACTCGTTTCGCAGTAAAACCAGGCAGCGATTGTCAGAGATTTGTCGAACAGGGAGAGTTGCAGGTACGGGTAGCTTCCGATTTTTCAGGATCTGTTCGGGATCTTGCGATTCTTTGGGCTTCGGGGTGGGGTCAGTTTGCATTTAGAGGCCTTCGCAAGCCCCGGGCAGTGAAGACTCGACCCATGCCTTCCGTTCATCACCCATTAAAAGGAAGACATGCCCCCTTTCCTTGCTTCTTTTCCGCTCCTATGCTTATCACATGTTCTTTTTCTTCATTTGTTGGGCTCATCACAGGTTTTTAATTGTAATTCAATGGATAAAATATTGGGCTCACTGTTCGTTCCTATGCTTACGTATCACATGGCTTTATTCGTTTGGCTCACCCTCAGCCCCCCATTTTTAAATGCTTGGGCCCACTTTTAGCTCTCCAGACAAAATCCGCGTGGGGCCGAAACCGTTCCAGACATCCCCTATGCTTATCACATGTGAGAAAAAAAAACCAAAAAACGTTGGGCTCACCCCCTCCTATGCTTATCTAAAACCACATCCTGGGCTCACTTTTCGTTCCTATATGAGTATCACATGGCTAAGAATTCGTTGGGCTCACCCCCCAGCTCCGGTTGCGTCCGTAGGGAGGACATGGACCTGGAGCTGCAGCCCGCGCTCCGCGGGGAAGCGCTGGCCCAGGCAGCGCGGAACGCCCAGCAGAGCGCTGAAAACGCGCAGAGGAGCTGGCAGACGCGGGAGCAGCAGGCGCCGCTTTTTCTTTTTTTCCGCGCGGGGCGTTGTCTCTTTTTTTTGGGGGGGCCTTCCGTTTCCATTCTTTTCAGGGATCCGAATCTGGGCAAACGGGCCGGTTTGTGAAAAGAGCGATTGGAAAGAATGGGGAATCAACCCTTAGAAGGAAGGGGGGGACCCTCAAAAGAATTGGACGCCCATATTTATCCAAAGCACGACCTTGAGTCTGTTTTGCGACAATGTTTAGGGGGGAATCGTATGGTGGACTAAGCGTCCAGGGCGCGGATGGGAAGCCTCATGACTTGGCTTTTCTCCTTTGGGTGGTTTCTCTTGGCCTGCCATTTTGGAGGGAAACCTTGAGGATGTGCCTTTGGGTTGGGTGAAAGTGGATGGCAGAGTGCCCTCGTTTTGGTTTAGTCCACCCTTTTAATTTCGGGAGTGCAGGGAATTGCGCCACGTCAACCGCATTTGCTTCTGAAGGTCTTCCGGCGGGCCTTCGGGGCTCACCCTGGATCAAATCGACAGGCTCAGTCCCGCGTGGAGCTTTCAATCTCACTGCCCAAAGCGACTCGATCTGACGATCTGACCGGATCCGGTTTCTTTGGCTCGGTCCTATGTTTGGCACAGGCGCCAAAAGATGAACCCTTCAATTATTTCCAGGTCAACTTTGGGCGACGTTTTCGGCGGGCCAACCGTATGAAATCAGGGATCAGCAAATCAGAACATAAAGGGGCCTGCGCGCATTTTTTTTTCCCAGGCTGCACTCTTCTCCTTTTCCTTTTTTTTTGCGGGGGGGGGGTCTGCCAAAAGGACAGGGGACGGACGGGTGCCCCTGGTCGGCTGTGGATCAAAACCAATGGTACCATTTTGGTTGGGATTGGTGAATTCACCCATTTTAGAACCTATTTTAGTGGTCGGATTGAATCGGATGTTCACTGGGGGCTAACCGATTTGGATATTGACCCATGGCCAGTTCCCAGAAAAGGGGCCCTGACATGATAGACGTGCCCCGCGGGCCGCTGCCCAACCTCCGCCTGCGGTTTCTCCCGGCGCTAGGCGCTGCGGCGGAGCGTCTTGGAGTCGGAGCTGCGGGGCCTGGAGGCGCAGCAGCGGCAGCACCAGACGAGGATCAAGACCTTCCTCAAGGAGGCGCCGGAGGGCAGTACCCGCTGGCACCGGCGAGGGGGGGAGTGGTTTTTGGGGGAGGGGAGAGGGGGGAGGGGTTTTTGGGGGAGGGGAGGGGGGGGAGGGGTTTTTGGGGGAGGGGAGGGGGGGGAGGGGTTTTGGGTGGAGGGGGAGGGGTTTTTGCTGGAGGGGGGAGGGGGGGAGGACTTGTCCCTTCATTTGTCTCCCAGCTTGTGCTCGCTCGCTTGTCTCCATATGTTTGTTTGTTTCGATCAGGCTTGACAACGACAACTGGCTTCCCGGTTAGTTGTTCCTCGATCTTTGCACCCCGTTCATGCGCAGCAATGCCTTGACCTCCACTTGGCAGCTTGATTTGGCTGCCCAGACATGGTCCCCCGTGGTTGGCAAATGATCCAATTGAAAGGAGCTGTTGTGAGCAGCTGCTGTTTGGCGTCGATGTTTGTGTAATTTTGGCATTTGGGAGGGGAGGGAGGTCCTTGGGCACCCCATCATGTTTGGAAATCCCGGTGCTCCCATAGAATATCGTCAGTACTGCCAACATTGCGCTCCATTGTTTTTGGTTGGTAAGTGCGGGCGGGTGAAAAAGGCTGTTGCTTGCTTTTTGTGCTGGGGATGGTTTTCTTTTTGGAGAAGGTCTTGGAGGAGGGGGTGCCCAAATAAGCTCTGGTGTGGCTGGGAGCAGCTTTCAGCGGGGGTTCCGGAGGGTTCGATTCCTGGGCTGAGGGTTCGTTGGTTCCGATGGGCCTTTTCCTTGCACGTGGCAAGCAAACATTTGAATGACAGCCCTGTTGCCCCACGAATGCATGTTCGCACGTATGCGGCATGCATTAACATTCGAATATATTCATCTCCAAATTCCATCCCTAAAGAGGCAACCCAACACGCGCACTACACATCAAGACCCAGTACTTTAGCATTGCCGAAGTTACCCCACAAGTGGGCGGAGGGAGGGAGGGGGAGGGAGCCCAAATAAACCCTAAATAAGGTTGCCGTCAATATCACGACCCTAGAAAAACGATGGGATTGGTCCTGAGGAGCAGAGGGAGAAGGCGCTCACCGAGAGCCTGCAGCAGTTGCAGGAGTGCCTTGGGCGACGGCGGGGAGGGGTTCCCCGGGTCAAAACGGGTGGCCCAAGCGTGGCTGGTTCGAACTTGGCCTTTCTACCCTTCAGGCCCTTTGGGATTGCTGCCAACCAAATGTTAGGATCTAAGTTTGGCCAAGGCTGTTCGAACTCCTGTCACCAAAGTCCACTTCGCACCAGCGACGGATGAAATGCTACGAATACTGGGACTGGCGCCCCTACCACCTGGCGCGAAGCGTATTTCGTCCATCCGCAGTGTTCGCCCTCAAAGACCCGGAGAAGCCTGAGCCCCCGAAAACCTCCTTGGGTGCATCTTGCCAAGGGATGTTAGGACTTTAGCTTTTTGCCAACTAATGGGTTTTCCGTATTAAGCCACCAAAAGGTAAGCCTTTAGCAGGGCTTCGCAGAAACCAACCGAGCCTCGTTTTGGTGCCCCCGGACTTCGTTTTTGGGCCCCGGCAGGATGCCGAGCTCCAGCTGGGGCTCTTTCGATTGGAGCTCGACCATGGCAGCCTGGACCGAGGGTGGGTGAGTTCCAAGGGCTGTCGGAGGGGGGTTCACCACCTCTTGGTGGTTCCAGCCCTCCGGTTCCTTGGTTTTGTTGGTCGATGTTTAGGTGGTTTAGCGGTTGGCGGGTTAGGCTTTGAGCAGAGGATCTGAGGGCATCCCAGGAAGGCGAAACCTCCATCTGCGGTGCCGGGAAACCCCCCCAGCGAATCGAGAATTAGAAAATTGGGAGGACGTTCCATTCTTGACTGCTATTGGGTTGGATCTTTAGACTTTAACTTTTTGGAAAACAACAGGGTTTTCCACTAAACCCCCACAAGTTAAACTTTTTGCAGGGGGTCAACAGCAACCAAGCATTGGCATCATAGAAAGGAGTATTTTCATGTAATTCCCACAACCCTAGGTCCATGTTCTTTCTCGGCTTTTTCAGGGTAGACTGAAACCCAAAGGTTCGTGCCCCTCAAAAGGGAAAGGACCCTTTAGGCTTGTGTGTGGGAACCAGTGTTTTTCGTTTTTGAATGTTCATTGGCCGTGTTTATTT